TTGGCCTGGGCCCATTGATCCAGCCTGTCCAGGTCCCTCTGCAGAGCCTTCCTACCCTCGAGCAGATCAACACTCCCGCCCAGCTTGGTGTCGTCTGCAAACTTACTGAGGGTGCACTCAATCCCCTCATCCAGATCATCAATAAAGATATTAAACAAGACCGGCCCCAGTACTGAGCCCTGGGGAACACCGCTCGTGACCGGCCGCCAACTGGATGTAACTCCATTCACCATTTCCATCAATCTGCTTTAGAAAACATAAATATGCCCTCCACAGCTAGCATGCAGTGTTCTTCTCTGGATCTTATAAGCACTTCTCCCTTCCCCCATCTCCTTGGCTCTTGTTCACCTGCATTTCTACATGGATCTGGCTTTTGAAAGCCTTCATGGACTTGTTGCTTGTGATGCAGTAGCACCCAGAGGGCTCAGTAGAGATCTGGTCCCCTGATGGGTAGGTGCTTCCTTAAATGCGCGTTGAGACATGGTCAAAGGTCTAAGGGAACAGAGTGGTGAAGGACACGCTGAACCCAGCTCTTTTTGTTGATGGTCCTGTCCACTGAAATAAGCTCTTTTTGCATCTTCCCTGTCCCACCTCATTGCCAGGGGCTCTCGCAAGCCTGAGCTGTTCCTCCAGGTTTTCTTGTGAAATAATTGGATCCTTTTGTGCCCTCAGAAGTGTTTTCTTCAGGGTGCCCATGGATGTTCTCAGACATTTGTGCCAGCTCCAGAAAAATTATTTTAATTGGTATTTAACCCGCAGCAAAATACAAGCCCTGGAAGGATTTGGCAGCACTTGCAAAAGTCTTCCAAGAAGTGGGAGTTAAGAATGAGGAAATGGTGTCTGAAGATGGAAAGATTTTGATATCCAGAGAGACCTTTCAAAGAAAGAATTGCTCTGCCTTAATTTATAAATATGCCAATAAAGCTGTGCCTGGTTCTTCTTAAATATGTCCTAGCATGTAATTAGGCTGCCAGTTGAGGGAGGATTTGTGGTTACGCCTAGAGCAGAGACTGCATGTGCTCCTTTTGAATTCCTCATACTTTTTCTCTCGCAGCTGAGTTCCCTGAAAATGGCTTTTTGTTTGTTTGTTTTTAATAAGCCAGGAAGCTGTTTTCCTTTTCTTTTTCTGCTCCTGAGTTGGGGGGTTTTTGTTTGGTTGGGTTTTTTTAAGGAAAACACATTCATCTCTTCTGTACCATTGTATCTTAAAGTTTCAGGGTCATTTTACTTGTGAAAGATATCTTACCTGTAGGAGTTTACAGACTTTTTGGTACAGATGTGTTTGAATTTCAGGGTCATTTTACTTGTGAAAGGTATCTTACCTGGAGATACAGACTTACCTTACAGACTTTTTGGTACAGATGTGTTTGACATAGCGGTGTTAAAAATGGAAGAGAAGAACTGAAATCTCTGGGAGAACCTACAGTCGCTTGTAATGGGAAAAGAAGATTTCACTCACTAATAATAATCTTTTGGAAATAACTGGTGCAGCTGCAGTCATTGGTGCGACAATCTGTTCTTGTAATTTTTAAGGCATGTGACAATCTTCAGCAACTGGCTTTTTTAGTGAGAAAATTTACACTTTTTTTTTTTTGTTCCCCCTATGTACTTTATCCGAACCCGGAGAATAGAAGTTTCTTGGATAGCTACAGTGTTTTAAAAGGTAGTAGCTTGTTTTCAAAGCTTGCTTCTGAGGTCAGATAGAAAACATTGGACTCAAAGCAGCCCTGGAAGCTTTGAGTGGCAAATGGCAGTGTGAGAAACGTGGTCTTCCAGGAGCGCAAACTAGGCTGGAGTGGTCACTAAGAGCAGGAGGAATGGAGAAGGAAGGCTTGCGTCTAAATGTCGTTGGTGGTGTTGTCATGTTGTAGGAAGTGGGACATTTGTCTGTCCTGCTTGCTTGGCTTGGGTGGTCCCCAGGAGAGCTTCTTCCATGCAGACCATCCAACCTCAAATTGAACAGTATGTGCTTTGCTTGTATTTCACGCGTGTATTTCATTTCGTGATTGTTGTGCGTGGTCTCAGTTCCCACATAGGCACGGCTGGGTGAGGTCTTCAGCTCCATTCTAACGTGGTCTATGACCCATGCTGAGGCATCCTTTCCTTGTGGGTGCAGTCCAATGATAAAAATATTTTGGAAGCCCGTACGTTTCACATGGTGCTTGCCTTTAGTCTGAATCCGAGCTGTTTAATCCCTAAACTGCAGTACCAGGGAGGAAGGGACCAGATTCTTTGCACAGCCTGAGACTTTGCTGACAATTAGGCTGATTTTCAAAGCCTGGGTGGCGTGCCGTGTTCCCGGAGTGAGCAAGAATTGGGTCAGGATAACGTCCTGTGTCCGTCTGGAGGTTTTGATGCTGGTAACGCACAACTCCAGGGCACCATACCTTTATGGTGTAGGACACAGCATGAAGTCACTTAGCAAGATGCTATTCAGTTCCTTGAATACTCTGTGGGTGATTAACGTCTCTTCCAGAGAGGAGGAAAAATAAGCTCGCAAAGTTACCAGTGTTACTTTCTGGCTTGTAGGAACATGTTTGAATGAGGCTATTAAATGCTGGAAGCAAAAAGTAGTTTATTTATGTGTGAAACCAGATCAGTTGTGGTCAGGACCAGAGCTGGGCTGTTTTGTCCTTCCCCTAAAAAAACCCCGCCTTCTCCATATTGCATCCATGGCAAATATTTGTTTTAAAAGGTTTTTTTTGAGGTTCTCCCTCGAGTTCCAAAGCCTTAATGAGTTTGAAAAATAAATAATAATAGTAATAATAAAAGAAGTCTTATGATTTAATATCTGTGGTTTCGAGTGACTCCAAATAGCTCAGGAGTTCAAAGGTGCCTGTTGTTCTTTATAAGGAATACGCGTCTGTTGGAAACAAGGGGTGTTTCTCTTGCGCTGTCAGCACCTTTGAAAGGTTCCCAGATACTTTGGACTTTGTGAGAAAGTCACTGGTAGTCGCAGGCGGGCGGCTGAGGCGCGGCGTGGGAGGCAGGACTGCTCATCTGGCCCCAAGCACTGCAGCCAGCACCCTCTTTGCTGCATTTGCCGGTCCCAATATGCTGCTTGCAGAGACCCCGGGGAGTCCAGCACCGTCACGACCCAAGGATTTATTTAAACATGTCCAACTTAATCAGTAAAACATTATTGCAAATTAACTCAGTTCTGGCTGGCACAAATCCTAATGCAGAAGCAGTTAAAGTGGCGTTATCCTGGCTGAAATGGGTGGTGTTGGTGAACCACCAATGTAAACACAAGTGATGTAAACCCAAGTGATATTAAATGCACCGACATGGTGCCATGACTTATTTGTAGATATGTTTCACTGGTGATCTATTTCTGCTGTCAGGCAGGGCAAAATTTGATGCTGTCCCACCCAAAGGGCTGGAAATCAGCAGTGTTTTGGGCTACATTACTGGGACTTTAAAGCAATTTGCTTAACTTTTTGTTTCCCCAATACAAAATGAAGTGAAAACCTCCCTCAGGACTTGATTAGCTCAAAGAGATTTTTTAAAAATAGAATAGGTTTTTCCCTAAACACAGAGCTCTGCTGTTGTACTAGGGGCAACGGCTGTAGACCAGTCGCTCCTCTGGAGGAAGACGAAGGTGTCTTGACTTTGCTCCTATGGTGTGAGGAGGTCAGGACCAATGTTTTTCACCAGCTCTTTCTCTGTCTTTCCATCTCAGCTTCTCAGATGCTGATGTTCACTGCATACCTCGCAGTTGTAGTTGCACTTTACCTCGTCCCCCTCACCATCTCGTCCCCTTGCATAATGGAGAAGAAGGCTCTGGGACCAAAGCCAGCCATTATAGGTCACCGCGGAGCACCGATGGTGAGTAGTCTCACATTATTAGTATCGTGTTGTCTGACTCTTCTGCCTGTGTAAAGGATGGTACCGGATCTGATGGTCTCCAGGCTGCTCTCCAGAGAAAATATATGACAAATATAACTTTGAGGCACCCCTCCTGGCTAGAATTACTGCGGTGTTAAATCAGTACATGAATCCAGAGTCAAGTCACGCCCCAGATGTTCTAGATGCCTTACAAACAAAAAGGCAATCCTTGCCTTGCTCAGGGTGGTTTGTGCAGTTGCGTTTTTCTGGCTGCTAGTTCTGCTGATTTCTGCTCTTCTACTGCTTGGCCCTTGAGCTGCAGCAGTAGAAGTTTGATATTTTTATTTATTTTTTTAGAGCTTGAGGCTCAGTCTTCGTGTCCTTTGCAGGACCTCACCAGCAGTGGTTAAACTCAGCTCACAGCAAGGTGCCTTGAGTAGGTAGCAATCTGCAAAACCAACCAACCAAACAAGCTGTCCTGACCCTACATGACTGCACAGTACTCTTTCATTGCAGAGCATCGTGAGACTGGGTGAGGTGATGAAACGTTTCTGTCATCTGCCTCTGGGTAGACCTTGAAATCATAATCGTATAGTCCTTTCTTCTCCGAGGTTTCTGGATATGTCCAGGCTGAAGATGGAGCATGTTGGCTTAGGCACAGCCCTGGGCTTGGATAAAGCTGTCCTGTGGTGTTTGGTCGTACCGGTCTGGGTCTCTAGTTTGGGTTCTTCTGTACCTAGGTCTGTTGAATGGTTGCACCTCCATCTCTCTCTGCTGGTTGGTTGACTTCAGACAAGATAGCATACTGCAGTGTAGGCGCTGGCCTTGCGAATGTTTTTTGGTTTTTGTTCTTTGTGGTTTGTTGGTTTTTTTTTTTAATGCATCCAACTAACTTTTTTGCTGACATTCAAAGCAGAAAAAATATCTGTATAGGCTGTCAGAACCTATTTGGCAGGCTGGAGCGTGCTTGAGCTCCTCTGCAAGTTCAAGAGTGTGCACTAGGATTTTGCTAGGTGAGATAAACACCTGTCATGACACAGAAGTATTTTATTTTAGTTCTCTCTATTTTTAATGATTTCTTTCTTTAAGCGATCCCTTGAAATGCCAGCTTAATTTGCATCACTCTTTTAACTATATTGCCTCTGTGGGTGGTGGAATGAAGTTCTGGGCATGATAAATGCTTTTTCCTGTCCCACTGAGTTTGTACCAACCGTGAAGGCCAGAAGCAGCCAAGTGAGAACCTGGGCTCTGCATGCTTTCTGTGTGGCAGGAAATCACAAAACCTGTTAGGAGATTTTCTTCCTGTAGGGTTTCCAGGCCTGTGTGGGCCCCATAACCTTCTAAAGAAACTAAACAGCAGACAAATTCCCCCTGTCTTCCAGATAGTTTACATAAGCCTTATTGGGAGCAAGACTCCCAGCAGAGACTTGGCCCTTTGCTTTGCTTCATGTTCTTCCTTGGAGCCGGCAAACACTCCTTGCAGCATGGAATAAACCTATCTGGGAAGATGTCGCTTGCACGTTAGGGTGCAGAGGGTTGCAAAAGTTGATCAAGAGCAGTGGTGGAGGACCCTCAGTGCTGCGTGTGGAACTGTGGTCCAGGTGTTGTTCAGCAGGGTGCATCCCTCCCCTTCACCATGCCCTGATACACAGAGTTGGTTGTCTGTTAGCAGCAGATGGCCTGCTCTGAAGCCCACAAGAAGCAAGTTCAGAGACCAGCAAGCCTTGTTCCAACCTCCAAGCAAGATCAGAGACCAGCAAGCCTTGTTCCAACCTCCAAGCCATAGTCTGCATGTCCCACGATCAGTTGGCAGTAGGTTTATCCAACTGCTTTGCCTTTGCAGTGTAGTGAGTGTCCTCTGACTGCACCTTTGAATGGCATATCTGAGATGGGATAAGAAAGATGAGGACCAGAGGTGGTCAAAACTTCCTTCTGTACTTCCATCTAGGCCCAGCTTTTCACTATATCAAATGTCACCTTAAGTTTGAAGAGCTCCACCTACAGTGCAAGTCCTCAGGTTGCACTAAGTCATATCTGCTTGGAAACTAGTGATTTTAAAGCCTTGCCAGAAGGCATTTCTGCTAATAGGGTCTTGTTTCACAGGGCTGCTTGCTACGCTTTTGCTGTTGAGCCCAACTGTACGTAGATTTAGTTTGAAGAAATGACCAAGTGGAGCTGGGGAGGAGGAAATAGCCCAGAGTCTGGAGACTGGGCTGTAGGACACAGACATCCTCCCTCGGGCAACATCAAGATCAAAAGTCTGCAGAGCCTGGGAGTTTGGGACCTGGGGTGAAACTAGATCTAGTGGGACTGGAGATGATAAAAAGCGATGCAATATTTGCCTTCAAATCTCCTGAAGCAAGACAAACGTGATTTGCTGTGCAGACAAACATGCTCTCTGCCATCCTTCACCCCTCTGGCAGGACTGGGTCCGTAATATTGCATTTGTATGTCCAGTGCTCTTATACTAGAAAGACACAAATACAACTGAGTGCTGTTCCGATAAAAGCCAGCAAAGGAGATCCATGGGACGGCTGCAGACACTTGTTATCCTGAAATAAAGGATTTGCTGGGGACATGGCGTATGGTATATGGAGCAAAAGGTGGTGAAATGGAGAGTTTCCCAATAAAGCTGTAGATGTGCGCACTTCCTGAGAGATACAGTACCGAGGGATACCGATCCATCAGTGCATGCAGCCTGCTCCTCAAAGAGGGGCAACGATCTTCCTTTGCACGCCGGAGCCTGCTTTCCTCTGTGCATGCACACACCCTGTCTCTCTTCTCTTGTCCCTTTAGGATTTTGAAGAGCAGCATTCATAGCATCTGTGTGAGTGCAACTCAACAGCTGTCCTTGTTCCATGGAGGAAAAAAAGTGGGGAACAGAGGCCATATGGCTCATATAATTTGTCTTGAAACACTGGAGGAGGGAAAAAGTCCTTGCATTTGAAGTAGCAAGAGAAAATCGGAAAACATCCTGGCATCTGTCCCTAGATGAAGTGTGGCTTTTTGCAGTACAGGAGAGCTACTGGTTCCACACTGGCTGACCATTTGTCTGTAGTGGTAGTGCTCCTCCAAGCAACGTCCCTTTGGTATCATCCTGTTCCCCCACGAGCTTTAATTCACTGCTAGAAAGGCTCTTCTGCGTGACTCCTTCTACCTTCCCTTGACTAAATGTCATCCAGTCATGCCCGCTTTTCGCTATGCTAAATGTCCGTTCCCATCAGGGTGCTATCTGAAACCCCTTTCTCTTAGCAGGAGTTTAGTTAATCAATCAGTTTCTTTTCAAAGGCTCTTTTAAAATGAATTATTCAGTTTCCAGATCTGTTTCTGTCCTGGACTCCCATGAGGAGAGCATCAGGGTTGTGGCAGCAGTGTGCTGGGAATTGAGGGCTCCAGCCCTCACTTGATGTCTGTTAGTTTGAAATGGTCTTGTCCTGATGGGTACAGGAATCATCTGACACCTCAAAACATGAGATGGGGTTCTCTGTAAATTTTGAACGTTAGTATGTTAAACTTTGCAGATGGTTTCACGAGCAGGTGTCTGTTGTCTTTGGTCTTCCATCTTTTTTTATTCTTCTTACAGAAATCTAGTTGCATTTTGTCTTCAATGGCAATGGACTCAACTGTCTTCTCCCTGTGTTGGTAAATATGCCACTTATGCTGAGGATAAGCCAAAACAAGGGTAGAAGGTAAAAGCTGGGACAAAATCTGAGATGGAAATGAGGAACTTCATCCAGTGGGACACCAACTTCTACCGCTATTTGCACCTTTAAAGTCTTCTCCCAAATGTCTTTCCTCACATGGTGCTTCAGGTTGAGGCAGGTTGTCTTTGCTTTTGGGATCTGAAGAAGGTGCTGTCCATAATGTTGGATCCTACTTGCTTTTAGGTTGTTAGTCCTAAATATACATTCCCTATAAAAATAGTTAGGCTCGTCATGATGATCTTTGATCTCAAATTGTAGGTAAATCACCCAAAGGATCAATAATAGCAAGGACTTATCTGAGCTAGATATAGCTCAGTTATCTGTCTCCTTGGAAACCTTCATGAAGCCTGGAAACTCACCTCCCATTATTGGGACAAAAAAGGTACTGGTTGGTCTAAAAACAATCAGGCTAAGCCTGTGGAAACCATCCAAGCATGTCGGAGGCAAGAACAGCTCTTGATTTCAGAGCTGGAGGCTACAAATAGCATTGAAATAAACGCTTTTGGCAAACCACCCGTACAGCTGGTTTTCGGCATGTCTTAAGAGCACTGAGGAAGACTGTGCCAAAACCGCTGCCCACGTGCCGCGAAGCATGTGGCGCTCATGCCGTCGAGCTCCTTCCCGCACGGCGGACGATGCCAAACGCAGACACCATGCTGGGAGGAGCATTTTTCGGCGGTGCTGACTCACTGGCTTTGCACAACTCCAGAGTGGAAAAGTACCCATTGCGGGGACAAAATACCTTGGTGGGCAGCCAACGTTTAATTGCGCTTAGGATTTGCCTGTTGGGTTACTGCATGGGAATGTTTTGCCTCGACAGGCAGTGTGTCATGCTGTTTCTGGGAAAATTCCAGCAAATATGGCCTTGCACACGTGGAGGGTTTTTTTGTGTTTTGGGGTTTTTTTGACACCTGAAGGTGAAGCTTCCGATCTATGTTGGCGTTCTCACAGAGATGCTGTTTTGTCATCTTGTGGTGCCAACTACCGATAGAAACGGTAATGAAGACTTCTTGTTGGGATTGTGGCTTATTAGAGAGCTTTCAGCTAATGAAGAACAACTGGTGATTTCTTTCTGTGGCTTTGGGGTTTTTGTTTTCTCGGTGGTTTTGAGGGCCTCCATTTTATCTTGGGTACCAAAACTTTGCCGCCACCTGTTTGGGATGGCTTTGTTTTTTAAAGGCTCTGAAGTGCTTTGGTCTGTACTGCTTGTGCTGCTGAAATCAAGAGGCATTTGGTTTGCTGTACGTCGTATGCACCCCCACCTATTAAAAATATGGCCAGTTAACCTGTCTGCTG